AAATTATTTAATTGAAAGTAACTTTATGAAGTAAATTATTTTATTTTCCTCGCTAACAAGTTTAAAAGATCGTTGTTTTATTCCTCAGATTTGTGAAGAATGACTATTTTGTTGAAATTTTAAGATTATTTAAATATTTAATATACTTTAATTTTGCAAGTGACTTTACATTATTTTCATCTACAAGTAATCATTTTGAAGCTTTGAAATGTTGACAAACAGAATGTTCGATTTATACAGTTCAAAATATATGCATGTATGTATGTATATTCTATTGTTTAAAATTCCTTAGCTATATAGGTTAAATTTATGTAGGATTTTATTTTCAGATTCTGATCAATAAAAGTTTTTTCTGTTTGTAAATGTATTTTAAATCCATAAAAATATTACAGAATTTGTCAATCAATTTTAATTGATATTCATTATTGAATTCAAATGAATAATAATCTCTAGTACAATTGTTTATTAGATAAAAATATAAAATAAAAATTTGAATAAAAATCCGAATAAAAATCTGAATAATAATCTGAATAAAAATCTGAATTTTCCTAAGAATCTAAATAGGTTTTAAAATCTCTAAAAAAAATTGCAATATTTGTTTGCTGATTCGAATAACAATTTCCTTTGAAGCTTTGAATGGAAAGCAAATGTTGACAAACAAAACCTTCGATTTGTACAGTTCAAAATATATGCATGTATGTATATTCTATTGTTCAGATTATGATCGATGCTGTGAGTCATTTAGCGGCCAGCTTAGCTGGCTCTTGGTCGCCAGACAAACACGCGCTCGTAAAGAGCAAACAGTGCCAACTTAATCGGTTTAATTAACTCAAGAAGTGCCCGCGGTTTGGAACCCCCCCTCTTCCTCCCCTCCCTCTCTCCCCCACCAGACTGGGCCAGACTATAAATGCATGCCACCCGTTGGCCCGGCTATTGTCGGAAGCGCGCAGCTGGCGGCGACCAGCGCCGGAAATGCGCGCAGTTTGCAGCACACTGCAAACATTTTCGCTATCTAGCTGATGCTGTTGTTGTTGTTGCTGTTTTGCTTGTATTTTTTATTTTGGGCAGTTACGCTTTGAATTTGGTTGGCTGGTTGGCTGGCTGGCTGGCTGGCTGGTTTGGTACGCTTCGGTTCAGTTCAGTTGGGTTCGGTTTGGCTTGGTTTGGTTTGGTTCGGTATGGTTTGGTTTTTGGCAACTTAATTACATTTCGCGCCTAAATGTGTGCTATGCGTAGCGAACGCGCTGACGAAAATTCCCAGCATTGGCACAGCGGGCGTAGTATTGTGTGGGCGTGGCAGTGCAGGGCGTGGAAAGAGGGATGGCCGGTGAAGAGCCGAAACAATAGTACGGTCGATGGGGAGGGGCAAAAAGTAGTATGTACTATGCACAGCGGGTATGCCAGCCAGCCAGGCTTGCCAGGCAGTGTTCCCAAGCCTAGGCGTTCAATTAAATATAGCCAGCCGTTTTTCAATTGTGGACGGAATCGTGTAGACGATGCCGACAATACTGATGTGGTCGCCGTAGCGCCTAAAATGCTGCAGCACAAATTGAAAAATTGCCAACGAACCGAACCGAGCCGAAAAACAATTTCAACAACTATCGCCATAGTGGTTTGGAAGGGTGTGAGTGCTGGGGGTGTTTGCGGGGAAATGGGTCAGTAGTGTTGGCGCCTTGGCGTACGCAATCCTGCAGCCCAATGACTTGCAATTTGTTTTGGCTGTGCATCAGGATGCGGGCAGTGTGGCTGTCGGTTTGCGGCATCAGGGTTGACGGGCTAATGCACTGAAAATTTCAAATAAATCTGTAAGCATTCCATCTATGCCCCTAGGGGGTGGGGCGTGGCCGAAAGTCAAATCTTTGCCGCCTCTAATTGCAGCATAAAACGTGCGTCCAAACGTAAACATTGCATAATTTTGGCCGCCGCTGACAGCAGGAAGAGAAAAAAGAAAATGGCGCCCTCATCAACGAAGCGTAACGCAGACATTTTCCACAGGGGATAAGTTTTTGATTCAAAACGAGGTTAATTGGCACGCAATGCTCAGCTCCCTGCCTGATTGTCTACACTCAGCAAAAAGAGTAACTTTTCGAACTAATTTCAGAAAATTATTGTTCCCTGCTGTCCAGCCGATCAACATTATGGTTGGCTCAGGAGCTGGTTGAAGAATTCTGTGAGTTACGAGGCTATGGCAACACTTTTCAGTTAATCAAAAGGTGTTTGCTATGCAACTGAAAGAAGAGCGAAATACATACAATTGGATAACGAAACTGTCTGGCAACTCTACTGTCTGGCAACTCTACTCTAAATAAAAGATTTCTGAGGAATTTGCGATATTTTTAACCAACTTCTGGTGTTGTAGGTTGGCAACTGTTTGGACACAACCACTTTTCAGTTAAATGATGGGCTCCTTCTAATTAAAATATGCTTGAGTGCAAAAGCAAATTGCTATGAACTATCAAGAGGGGATCGCAGCTTTTAGTTTTTGAAAGTCTACAATTTTGAGGATAAACCAAATGCTCTTGTAAGTGATGGCAACTCTATTCGAATGCCTAGCGACCAAAGTTGTTTGCTTTGCAACTACAAGTAATGGTTGGAAAAAGTGATATTTCTGTGAAAAATGTGAAAGCAATAATATTTTACGAATTCCTTAAAATTTAGGGACATTCTTTCCACCAGTGTACCTGCACTTTGCCAGCGGTAGTCCATAAACTTAGTTACGTCAAAGTCAATGAGCCCACGGCTTTGCAAGCTTTAAGTTTGCAGTTGCCAACAATACAGAGACACTGACACACACACACACACACACACACACACACACACACACTGGTGCGCACACACCAGTAAATTAATTAACACGATTTTGTTTTCAGTCAAGTAGCCAAAACCGTCAAATCCCAAGCACACCGACACCGACAAAATTCTGCGGCTCTATAAAAGAGCAAGGATAAAAAGCTTTGCATTTTCTTTTTTGCATATTCTTTTACCTTTTTTTATGCTTTTCAATGGAATTCTTTTTTGTTGACCATGAAAGCGTGTCTCAATTGAAAGGGGAATCGCTTTACAGTTAGCTTGGGGTTTTCAACAACTTAGCTCTGCAGTTCTAGAAAGTTGTACGGTGTAAGTACAATGTGGGAAAAAATTTGTGCTTTCATAAGAGTACGTAAGAATATGGATGAGTTTTTTTTTAAACTAAGGAGGTGTGTGAGGAACTTTGCGATTTTCCATTTATATATTGCATTACAATCTTTTAACACAGCATTGATCATGATCGATCCAGAAGTATCCCACCTGAAGCGAATGTTGTTAACCATTTTAAAAAGTAATCTCAAAGTGAGATACAATTTGGAGACAAAGTTCTGCGCAATATGGGTGAAGAGTCCACCATTTAATACCTGAGACAAAGCAATGAAGGAGCATTGGTTCGACCAACATGTTTCAAATAATTTTTGAAACAATTGTGTGTACGTTGTTAGTTCGCATACTTTTGTGGCTTTGCAGTTTAGCTCGTAAATTGTTTGCGATGATGGAAGAAAGTAGATTTGAAGCTAAGAAGTGTAGCTCGTAAATTTTTTTGCTCATCTAATTGGTTTTTATTTTTCAAAAGATACAAACATCATTTTTTTTATTATAAGTAGTATCATACTTTAAAAATATGGAAAATTTACTAATGGCTGGCTCTTCTGAATTCAACAATTTACATATCACTTGTTTTGAAGTCAAAAGTAAAGTTTAGACAATTATTTTTATTTAAAGGGGTTTTTCGTCTTCTTTAAATTGAACAAAAAATGCATGTAAAGATTTGTTTTGTTTGTAAAATAATAGACAGAAACGCACCGAGCTGGAGCATAGGCCAGGGATATTGCTTTTTTTCGTCTAGCATAACATATCTGATTCTTTAAAATATTTCTAGGGTAATTACCAAAGCCTTTTGAAACACTTAAGTTGTGTCGAATTGAAGTCTAATTGAACTCAATATAGACATGAGATTGGGACTAAATTTCTTTTTAGTTTTACACCCATTTAAGTATTGCTTGCTCAAAAGAAACCCTTTCTAATATCCTACATTTTATTGGAGAATGTGGTAGGTGTTGAACATCTGTTGTTATTGAAGAGTTTGGTACTTTCTTAGATCCCTTTTTGTTTTTTATCAACAGCGTGACTTTCGTGGCATGCGTCAAAGCTAAAGCGTATATATATATACATACATACTTATATGTATATATGTATAATCTAAGTACTATGTACTGCTGCGCAATGTGGAATGCATCAAAATGTACGATGGATTGGCGAGAAGGTACAGTCGACGCTAAAATTATGCGTATGAGCTACGTTATAAAATGCACAAATTTGTGATAACAACATCGCTGGTTAGTAGTTCAACAAGGATGGCTTTTTACGAGTATGTTGCTTAAGTGGCGGCAAAATGGATACAATTAGTTGTACATACTTTAGAATGATTTCGTATGGATATTGTGGTATTGGTGTGATTGGGTTTTATGAGTGTGTGTGTGTGTGTGTGTGTGTGTGTGTGTGTGTGTGTGTGTGGATGCTACGTTAGGCCTGAATGAAATGGCTTGTCGCTAGGCAGGGGGAGGGGTTATTGGAAAGCAAACGCTTAAAGAAAACAGTAAAACAATCGGTCAATCAATCAATCAATCAATCAAACAAGCAAACAAAAAGGCATTACCTCAACATGCCAACATGTTGCTTTTTACTTATTATTTGGATTTTTTTTTAATACACATATATATATTTTTGTAATATAGAGAGCATTGGGGCGCACGTGCAGCGGACCAGAGAGCTAGTTAGCTAGTCAAGATACTTTACTGGTTTACTGGACTATTTAGTAGGCTACTTAGGCAAACGAAACTAAATGAAACAAAATAAAACAAAACGAAGGGGAACAAAACTAAACGAAACGAAACAATATGTTGTAATTATTGTGTGTTGTTTTTTGTTTGTAGTAGTAGGTTGGTTGGTTTGGTAGCAAAAACACTTACACAGGTTTTCTATTCCCCTTGGAATCATACATTGGATCATAATTGAGCCTACGGATTTGTGTGTGTTTGTTTGTGGTAATTTTTATTTTTTGTTTATTTCGTGTGTGTGTTTTATTTTTGTGTTGAAACGTTTTCACGTTCGGTAATGTCATCAAATAATAGAAAAAATATATATATAGTTTGGCATTAAAATGAAATAAATCGGAATTGTTGTAATTATTATATGCAAATCATATAAAGATATATATATATGTATAGAGAGAGGTAGATAGATAGATAGACAGATAGATATAAATAAATAGAAATTTAATAATCAAGAGCAAAATATATAAAAGTAGCGCCTGTTGGGTATGCTACACTTTTTTGCAACTCTCGACATTTGCCAGAAATTTGGAAAACCTGGCCATTTCCATTCATTCTCTTTTTCTTTCTATTTTATTTTTATTTTTGTTTTGTTGTTGAAAATGCAACTTACGGCTTCGGCAATATCGTATTGTTTAGATTGTCCTTCCATTGTAGATCGGTAACGAGCGCCGGATCCGGTACAGTGGGTCGGCATGTCAATATAAGTGGTTTGCCCACAGGTTTCCGTTGCACCTCCTGCATGGGATAGATTTCCAGCTTGGCCGCCATGTCGGCATTGCAGAGCTCTGTAAATGAAAGAGAATAACTTGATAAGTTGAAGGATAAGGTGTTTGACAGTTATTTTCTGTGGGTGCACAAAAATGATTGATGAATGAAAAATAGCGCTGCTGGCGCCACTACGAGTATTGGCAGCAGCAGCAGCAGCAGCAGCAGCTGAAACAGCAACAGTAGCGTCATCGCGGCGGTAATTTAAATTAATTTTAATTGCCAGTCGCTTACAAAGAGACAAAGAGGCGCCGCTGGGTGGTGCAGGCGTTGAAGCGCTTTGTAATTTCTGCTTCTGCAAACAGACAATGGCTCATTATACACACACCCATACATATAGCTATATGCATTTATATACATATATATATATATATATATATATATATATATATGTGTTTGTGTGTGTGTATGTATTGGTATATTGGCAAACACGTTGGCAGCGCTTTGTGCGGTTTCGTGCTGCATTTAAAGAGTGCAATGTAAATGTTAATTAAAGTAACATGCTCTCCCTCTTGCTCACTCCGTTCGCTAGCCAACCAATTCAGCTATCAGAAATGTCACATGTGTCTGTGTGTGTGTGCAAAGATCAAGCGCAAATGAAAAGTCAAAAAATGGCATGCTGTGCACCAGAGTCTTTGTTTGCTTCCGGCTCAGAGCCTCAAGCTTCAAGCTTCACTTGCCATCCGCAACGAGTTATGAAATTTAAGTGCAGCTCCACTATATGCATTAGCATAAGCATATTTCAAAAGAGAGAAGAAAAAGCAACACATACAAAAAAAAACCTAACGCTTATACATTTTCTGCACAAGCGCCAAAAAGCAGGCAACGAACGATGTTGCTTGCTTGCCTTCCCCTCCCCTCCCCACCCCTCTCCTCCTTCTCTCTGCTGCTCGCTCTTTAACATTTTTGGATTAAATTTTCTTCTTTTTTTTTTTTTTTGCTGTGCAAATTTATGAAGTACACTACCAGGCTGGTAGAGTATTTTCAGGTCAAGTTGTAGAACATTATACTATGTGGTTGGAGGGAGGGAGGGTTCCATGAAATTTCCATAACATGTCGACGCCATAATTACATTTTATTGTGATTTCCTTTTACATTTCATGTTAATTTTGTCTTACTATACGCTGAAATTGCCAATTATAGTGTATTTCAGTGTCAAGCTCAACTGACCTGGCCATTGAATGCTGTTTATAAGTTCGCCAAAAAGTTTCTCGATTGCAACTGAACGGAGCTGAAAAGTTTTCCCAGTGTTCGCGGCAGTTCAGCGCAGAGTTCAGAGCCAGTTGATTACAGCTAATTAGTTGCTTGTGAAGCCCCTTTGTTTTTGAGACTGAGGCGGCACACAGCTTTAGGTTGCAGCATTGCTGGCAACTTTTAGTTGCACTTGCAGCTTTGGCCGGGGTGTGAGCGAGGGGGTTGGGGGTGCGGTGTGCGGTGTGGTGGCAACTTTGTGCGTTCATTTTAATTTTCATGAACATAAAAATTAAATGCTTAGGCTATTTGTTTGACATTTTATTGGACAGTCACTTGACTTTGCCAGCAAAAGAGTGAAAGAATGAAAGCGAATGAACGCGTCTCATTAACCAAGTCAAAGTTTTCATTGTTGCTGCAGACTGCAGTCTGGCTTAAGCATTGACCTCAACTTTGTGAAGGCGTCCATCCGCATATATAGCCACGACTCTGCTCGCCTCTACTCTTCTATACTCTTCTCTACTCTCCACTGCTCGCATCGCATCGCATTAACAGCAGCTTGTGGTTAATGTTTGGCGCGTCTGGCGGGGTCTGTGGTGCCGGCCGCACTTAACAGCGAAATTTATGTGTGGCGGTCAGCCAACAGCCGGCAGCTTGAAATGGGTTTAGAAGCAGATAATGGGTGGCCATATGGCGCAGACAGCAGGAGCAGCACTGCTCTGCCTCCTCGGCATTGGGCCACATTTGTCTTGCATTTTTATGAGCGCATGCCACAGCCTTCCTCCACATCCTCCTACTCCTTCTCCCTCTCCCTCTCTCTCTCTCTCTCTCTCTCTCTCTCTCTCTCTCCTCTCTCTCTCTCTCTCTCTCTCTCTCTGTGTCTGAGGGTGGCGTCTCGAGTTGCAGGTCTGTCGGAGTGTGAGGATATGAGGTTGGTTCTGGGGCTTAAAGGCTTGCGTGCCAAGGGATTGTACTTTTACCTCTCTACAGCAATTACATAATTTGTTTGGTTCGGTGGTGTGTTTGTTTTTTGTTATTTTTTTTTTTTTTGGTTTACTAATTTCGCCTAATTATGCCAAATGTTGAATCGACGTAGATGCTGTATTTCTTCTACACTAAGCTTTTAAGCCAGCATTCACTGTTTGCTGTACTATTTAAATGGAGTTTATGTTTATATCAACTTATACAAACAAATGCGGTAATCAAGGCAAGTCACATAGGGAAGTTGACTAGGGGTACTAGTTTGGACTCAAATATCTTTTCACAGTAAAGTTGGGCTTTAGGAATCAGTTTTGAAAAATTCAACCCACAAATGGGGCAAAAAAAGAGGCTCCAAAGTTTGTATGATAAATCCGTATTTTTCAATCAATTGACTCAGTTTGTATACTCATGCAAGAAAATCAAAAAAAAAAAAAAACTGCATTCTTGGTTTTTAGATGTTTTTTCTGGAACCTGACTTATAGCAAGTTTCCCGTAAACAAAAGTTGGGAGCTAGGGAACTAAAAGTGGGGCTTAGGTATCATCTTACCAAAATTCTAACGCGAAAGGGGAGAAAACAGGCTTCCAAGCTTGTTCTACAAGTATATATAATTCGATAGATAACTGGTGTTCAAACTGACTCCTATTCTGATATTTTTTTTTTTTGACAGCCAACTCAGCTGAGTGATCACACGATCCACATATCCAATGAACATCGAAGGCATCGCCATCTAAAACAATTTCCAGCTCTTTGTCAGCTGTCAGGCACCACGCTACGGATGAACGCCCTTAACACATCCATAGAGCGGAAATGTTTGTGCTAGTTTGCCAATATATATATATATATATATATATATATATATATATATATATATATATATATATATATATATATATATATATATATATATACATATATATTGGGTACGAGTATGTGTTATTTTCTGGCATAACTTTTCGAAATGCAACACAAACATGCCGCGAGCTTTGAGTTCAGCTGAGTGCATTATTAATTTAATGTAAACGAGTGCACACACAGACACACTCGCACACACACAAACATATGTGTACGCTCACTTACACAGGTGCATGCGTGTGGAAACTTTTCGAAAAAAAAAAACAAAATGTATTTTAATAAAATAAGTAAGCACTGGGCACAAATTGAGGGGCTGTTACTCCAAAAAGGGGGGCAGCTAAGTGCATTAAACTGCGCCGTGGATGGCCAAAAGTGGCAGTCTCAGCAATGAAAATTAAATATATATGAGAATTAAATACAAGTATACCTATACTTACGAGGGCGGCGCCATAAGTTAGTTATTAAATGCCATGCTGGATTTTATTGCTAAATAATGGACGGATAATAACTTTAATTGAAAAGACTTGAAGACAGAGCGCGCTCAGAAAACAAGTTTAGGCGAGATCTGACTGAAGTATCAGTAAATACATAAGACCTAGACCTAAATACCCAAGTCATTAAGTACTAGATATGAAATCATACTCCCTATTGTTATCACTGTGTCAGGATATGGACAAAGGAGTATTAATGTAGTTATAGATATGTTCTTCTCCAAATATTCTTCGATGCACATCTACTGGATGCCCAGCTATCCGAGCATTAAGCGCAAAAAGATGTTGAACATTTTGTGCCTGAATCAGACCATAATGCCAGAACGAAGGCTGGTGAGCAGTTGCGAATAGCTCTGATAATTGCCAGATCGCCCGAACTGAGAAAAAACTCATCCTTACAGCTCCTAGTGCAACGCCATGAAAGGAAATACAGACTCAGAAATAACCCTATCGCGGATCATTGCTTTGTAGGGAAGACAACACATGCAGAAAATGCTAGCGATCAGAAGGGATCGGAACCAAAGTAGTAGTAGACGACAAAATGCTCTTGATCCCATACGCTTACCAAATTGATCTTCAATTCCAACAACACGTGTCTAAAACCAACCAATAAGCTGATCTAAATACTCTCTTTTGTTTTTCTTACCACGAACAAATAGGTTTACAACAAATTAATGCTTGCTAGCTTCTTCTTTTACGGGAACTTCTTTGATTTCATTCCGTGTCTTGGCTCATAGATCAAATAATAGTTAGAATATTTTCTGTATAATTCGGCATAGCTTGACTCTAAATTGCAAAGTGTTCATGAAATTATGAGCTCTTCAGAAGGGACCTTCTTGGTTAAGAATTGCGACAAATCTAATAATTTGCGATATAACTCAACGATCTGCTCTCGCGTTTATTTAAAAAAAATGTATGCAGTTCTGCCTTTTTTGCGCATGCAATTAAGGAGCAGCAACAAAATGTAAAAATGGCTTGAAAAACAAAAAAAATAGGTTGGCGAATGAGGTGTGGGTGTGTGAAGAGAGGGGGAGGCGAAAGGAAGGGAAACGGGGCGAAAATGGCGGCTGGCCAAAAACTATGCGCGGCCGTCGACCGACATAAAGGAGCAGCGCAACCAACAGCGTTGACTGCTGACTGTCGACCGACCGAAGGACAGACCAAAGGACCGACCGGGCGTATGCTTAATTTATATTTATTTTATTTTAAATGCATGCTGCATAAATAAAGGCGCGAGTGCACACGTGGCGGCTGCCACACATTATCTTGCTGAATGTCTATCTGTCTGTCTGTCTCTCTCTCTGTGAACCAGAGTGCGTCCCAGTAGGACTTGATTGCATGCAATGTATATATACATATATATATATATATATATATATATATATATATATATATATATATATATATATATATATTTATTGCATAATTCGTTCTGCCAACAGAAACAAAGGTTCAGTGAACCGTTGAATTCGGTTCATTTTTTTAAAGAATGTTTTACACAAAT